GACCCTTCCCGTCACATTCAATTCATATGAACACATCTCGCAGTCACATCATAGTCACCACATAGCCATCACGTCATCACTTCCGCTAATAGGGACATTACCGAACATACAATTCTAGAAGCACGTGCCCACACAATCAACACCTCAGCACTCAAGCTATAGGCAAAATCCGGCCTCAAGTCCTCCAGACTGGCCCAACATCAACACACAAAAATCACATCTCGCCCTTCGATAAGGGAATCACAAGTCGTCAATGCACACCTGATACCGAGCGCTCATGAGCGCACACGAATGCGTGGAAGGAATTCAAGGAGCTAAGCTTCAAGCTGAATCAATGTCTCATGATAGGAATTCAAGAATGTGAAGTTCATTTCCTAAAGTTTCTGCAGCCTACCGAAGATAAGTACAAACGACTCCGTACCGATCCGCGAGACTCTACTAAACCCGCTCATGACTCGTGAGACCTATGTAACCTAGGCTCTGATACCAACTTTTCACGACCCTAAAACAGACCCGGTCGTGATGGCGCCTATCGTGAAACTAGGCCAGCCTCAACTCCACAATCAACCCGATAATAATACGTTTGAAAACCTTTACGGAAGCTTTTAACAGTTAAAGAACTATTTGAAACATAAGAAATTCCAAGAATAAATACAATCCAGCCCAAAACCGGGGTGTCACAGAGTGCATGAGCGTCTAAGGAAAAATACATAGTCTCATATAATGTCTAAGGGATCAACTGAAATACAACTGGAAGTAAGGTGGAGAGCCAAGGCCTGCGAACGCCATACAGGTACCTTAATAATCTTCCAAGTTAGAAGCCTCGATCAAACATCCACCACTGGATCCAAAGTGCCTCAATCTGCACACGAGGTGCAGGGGGTAACGTGAGTACACCAACTCAGTGAGTAACAAGTCCAACCTTTGGACTGATAGGTAGTGACGAACTCAACCTCCTCGAGGATAACAGAAATAATGTGCAGAAATGTAGGCATGCTTTCAGTTAAATAAACAGCTCAAACAGTAAAATAGAGCAGGTATGAACAAGGTAAAGGAGTGTAACTCTGCTACATCATCATGTTAATGCACATGCTGTATGGAAATGCACCATGCTGAGTGCCTCATCTGCCCACAACCTCAAATGCTCGTCCACTCAGTACTGTATATGGCTCATACGACCCAGGGAAGATCCATCCCGGAATACATACTTCTATGATGGCAATCACTCAGTACTGAGGAAGGCCATTCCAGCCTACGGAGAAGATCCATCTCCAGATTATATCAATAACAAACTCACAACCACTCGGTACTGTATATGGATCAGAAGGCCCGGGGAAGATCCATCCGGGAATATACACACATCACTAACAACAGTCATCCAATACCACCGAAGGCCATCCCAGCCTATGGAGAAGATCCATCTCCAAATATAAATACTTCGGACAAGATCCATGTCCAGGGAAGATCCATCCCTCAATATCATCAACTGCGCTTACTGGGGGTGTAAAGACTCCGGAGGGGCTTCTCTCTTTAGCCCAAGCGCTATAACAAATCCAACGAAGGCATGTTCAATATCTCCCTGCGGCGTGCAGCCCGATCCCATACTGTCACTCAATATCAGGCTCTCGACCTCACTCAGTCATCACTCTCCAGTCTCACACACACGGGCTCAAAATGTCATGATACTAGCCCGAACAATGATATGATGTGTTAAATAACAATAATCGAGACTGGGGCATGATATAATATGCATGAACAAGACTGAGTATAGAATATCAATAGACAGCAAGAAACGACCTCTCGGGTCTCAACAGTATTGGCGTAAAGCCTTAACATGATAATTAGCATGATTTGTAGCTCATTAACTTAATCACATAATTACAACACAGATATCAGCAAGAAAGAGTCACTAAGCGGTGCCATGGAATGATCTAGGCCGCAATTCTCACGGTGTACGCCCACAAGCCCGTCACTTGGCATTTGAGTCACCTCAATAGTAATCATAGAACACATAGTTCGGGGTTTCGAACCCTCAGAACCAAGTTTGGAAGTGTTACTTACCGCAAACCAAGCCAAACTCTAGCCCGCAATGCCCTTGCCTCTCGATTCGGCCTCCAAATGCCCCGAATCTAACCAAAATCAGTTTATAACCATCAATATACGCTAAAGGAGTGAAACCCATATGAAAATTATCAATTTAACTTGAAAATTCCGAAATTCACCAAACTCGACCCCCGGGTCCACATCCCGGATTGTGATAAAATTTATAAAACTAGAATCCTTACACTCTCACGAGTTCATACATACCAAATATACCAAAATCCGGCCACAAACGACCCCTCAAATCCCTAAATCAAAGTCTCAATTTTCAAGCCCTTAATCCCCAATTTTAACCACTAAATTCCACAAACTTAATGCCTAAATAGTAAAATATCACCATAGAAATATGTTTTGGTTCCAAAAATCTTACCTCCACGAAATCCCCTTGAAATCCCTCTTCAATTTGATCCCACAAGCTCCAACCCGTATGAGAAAGTGATGAAATAACCCCAAAATTCACGAAGGCCTTTATTTATATGCTCTGCCCCAGCGATACCGCACCTGCGGAAAAATTTCTCGCACCTGCGGAAAAATTTCTCGCACCCGCGGAAATCACTTATCCGCCCAAAATTGCACCTGCGCTCAACCGCCCGCATCTGCGCCATTGCAGGTGAGCCCAACTCTCCGTATCTACGGCACCAGTCCTTCATAGCCTTGGCCGCATCTGCGACCCCTTTTACGCTTCTGCGGTCCCGCACCTGCAGTCCCCAATCCGCAAGTGCGGTTATGACAGGAAATCAGCAGCTGAAACTGCTCAAACTCAACTCCAATTTTTCCGACAACCTTCCGAAAATCATCCCGAGGCCCTCGGGACCTCAACCAAAAGTAGGAGCAAGTCACATACCACTATTTAAACTTGTACCAACCCTCGGAACACTCAAAACAACGCCGGAACACCAAATCGCCCTCAGATTCAAGCCTAAGGATTCCAAAACTTTCAAATTCCGATTTTGATCAAAAAGTCTATCAAACCTCGTCCGAATGACTTGAAATTTTGCACATACGTCACAAATGACACAACAGACCTACTACAACTTCTGGAATTCCATTCCGACCCCGATATCAAAATTTCCACTACCAATCGGAAAGCGCCAAAATTCTAATTTCGCCAATTCAAGCCTAAATCTACCACGGACCTCCAAATTACATTCCGAACACGCTCCTAAGTCTCATATCACCTCACAAAGCTATCCGAATCATAAAAACCAAATTCCGAGATCGTTTACTCACAAGTCTAATTCCGGTTGACCTTTTTTTCCAACTAAATGGCCCACTTAAGAGACTAAGTGTCTCATTCCTCCACAAAACCACTCCGAACTCGAACCAACCAACCCACTACCACATAATATAGCTGAACAAGACATAAGGAATCAGAAATGGGGAAAACGGGGCTGAAATTCATAAAACGATCGGGCGGGTCGTTACAATTTCGGCGTTATAGGGCTGGATTGCAAGGTATAGGGACTTCCGCCCAAGGCGAGGCAATTGATTGGTCGACTATCTCGTCCGTGGAACAAAAGATCGCAAAGCTGACAGTAGAGCTTGAAGAGACAAAGGCTAGAGGACAAAAGAGAGATGAACAATTTGGTACCCTTCAAGTTCAGCTAGAAAATAGGGACGAACAATTTAATCTCCTTCAAGGTCAGCTGGCCAATCTTCTTGCTAGTGGTGCTTTCCCCATTACCCGATTCGTGAGCCTTCCCCGTGTGCTAATCCTTCTCGTCGTGATCCTTCGAACCATGCCAACGTTGAAGGTTCTAGTAGTGAAGATGGAGATGATGCAATATAAAACACTCATTGAATAGTGTGTATTGCTAAACAAAGTATTGAACTTGTCAACATTTAGTTGGGACTAATTTAGAATGATGATTGTATTGTTGATATTATTTTGTTATTGAACATTTGTATAGTTGTTGTTGTAGTAGTTGTTGTTGTTGTTATTAGCGGCGTTGTTGTGGTTGTTATTAGCGTTGTTGGTTAATTGTTGTTGTTGTTGTTATTAATTATTGTTGTTGTTGTTGTTGTATAATTGTTGTTGTTAATTATTGTTGTTAGTTAGTTGTTGTTGTTGTTGTTGATTTATTATGGTTGAATGGCAGCAATGTAATGCTGCCATTATAGGATGGATATTGGTTGTAATTGACAGGTGGTGTAGCTTAAAAGCAAGCATTTTCTGTCCAGTTTTTACCCAGAAAACCGACCGAAATCGGTCGGGAATAATTTTTTTTTGCCAGAACTTCACAATTTCCGACCAAATTCGGTCGGAAATTTCAAATGAAATCTCCAGATTTTTGAAATTTCCGACCGAATTCGGTCGGAAATTATGAATTTAAATTTATTTATTGTAATAAATTAACAATTTATTACAATTTACAAATAATTATATATTTAAATAAAATTATTATTTACTTAAAATTGCGACCGATTTCGGTTGGTATTTGAAAATTAAATCGGTCGGTAAATGAAGTTTGACATCAGTCAACGCTTTGAATAAACCGGCCGATTTCGGTCGGAAAATTTTCGACCGATCTCGGTTGCAACACGTTAGCGACCATTATTTTTCCGACTAATTAAAAGCGGTCGGAAATTGATCGCTTTTTTACAATTTCCGACCGATTTCGGTCGATTTTCTTCACGAATTTAAGCAGTTTTTTTAGTAGCGTGGGACAAAAGGAATATTATCTTATGTCTTTGAGCTATTGTTAACTTCTGTCACTCTATATGCATTGGTTATTGAATTTCAACAAACATTAGAGATTAAAGAAAAACTAATTTGAGTTTCGACAAACATTAAAAAAACCTAATCGAACTGGACATTGTTAATCCTACTAGTCCCATTATTACATTGATTTATGACATTTGTCTTTATTTTTTGTCCTTCGGAATCTATTGAAAGTTTTGGCGTTTACCAAACCTTGGACTTGGTAAAGATCTCCTTTGGACTTTGGTGTGCCCACTCTTTTCCCCTACATTACCTTCTCCAATACTAGTAGTTTCTGCACGTTTTCTTTCTCTCAACTTTGCCTGCATATTTTGAAGTGGGGTATGTTTGATTATCATCCATACCCTATTGCTCAGGTAATTTTCTTCTCTTGTAGATATCATTGGATGCTATTTTATTTTGTGCTTTTCAACAACTCGATTCTGATTCATTCTTAGAATTGTGTGTTTTCAAAAATTAATTGCCAATAATGTGCGTGTGCTTTTGCTTTCAGTTCATGACACAATTGTTTTATCCGAAGCTAAAAAAGAAAGGGAATTCCTGGTTTTCATGGCCTCTGAAAGGGAGATATTCAGCCTATCGGGTCCATTATTCCTCAATGCTATTGATTGGTAAGGCGCATCTATTAAGCTTTAGCTTTGAGATGCTTCAAGATGTTAATCTGAAATTCTTTTCAAATAAAAGAAAGAAAATAAACGATAATTCTTCAAAATTGGAATAGATCTATGAACTCCTACTTTGCTACAACTTTTGAAGGATGGGTTGATTTGACTCGCACTACACATTGCGAAGATAAACAAATTAAAAATTTATGTTTAGTATAAACTTACATGTAGTTGACTTTAAATTTTGAGTCAAGTTTTCATCTTTATTCACAGGAGAAATACAGATCATAGGAGGTCTGTAGCAGCAAGCTTAGTTCAGAGTGTGTACATTCTCGAACGTGACCGCCAGCAAAATCGCCTAGGCCCTAAAGCCCTAGCTCCGCCCTGGTGGGAATTCTTTCATTTTCGTTTAATCCAAGTCTTGGTGGACAATGAAGATCAATCTTACTTCGGTGCCATTTTCGAATACAAATATCCAAATTCTCATTTCAACTACCCCTATTACTCAGCCCACAATCACAATCAGAATCAGAATCAGTATCAGAATCCACCAAAATATGTGATCGCCTTTCGAGGCACAATTGCCAAAAAAGATAGCAGATCACAAGACTACAAGTTGGATTTTAAAGTCATTCGCAGTAATCTTCACAATAGCTCTCGCTTCCATATTGCACTTCAAGCTGTACAAAGCATTGTTCAAAATTACGGGGCCTCAGATATTTGGCTAGCTGGTCATTCATTAGGTTCTGCAATTGCATTAACAATTGCAAGGGATATGGTAATTAAAATAGGCATTCATCTCGGAACATATTTGTTTAATCCACCATTTGCATCTCTTCCAATAGAGAAAATCAAGAACGAGAAAGTGAAGCATGGAATCCGCTTTGCTCATAGTGTAGTCAAAGCTGGACTTGCTGCTGCCGTCAAAAGTCAGAGGCCAGAGCCTCCACATAAAAGTGATGATTTTACTATATTATCTGCATGGGTTCCTTATTTGTTTGTAAATCCATCAGATCCTATTTGCTCAGAATATGTTGGATATTTCGAACATCGGGAAAAGATGGTTGCGATTGGCGCTGGGGAAATCGAACGAATTGCGACGCAGAATTCAATAAGAAGTATTATTTCGACTGCTATAGAAAAAGAGTCAGAACCGTCGCACCTACTTCCTTCGGCTTTTGTTACTGTTAATTTGAGTCCTTCTCCAGATTTCAAACGAGCTCATGGAATCCACCAATGGTGGAAACCTGATTTGCAGTGCAATTACAAGCTTTACCAGTTTCGATAAGATTTGATATTAATCGTCTGTGAAATTTTAGAAGCTGTGGAACAAAGTGTACAAAGCTGGACAATCTAATTAATTACAGGGATCAAGAAATATTTTTGGTCTTAGGATGAATCTGAATTTGTTTTCTTTAATTGCAGTTATTGTTTTCACTTCCATATTGAGAGCTACCCATTAAAACATTAAAGAAGAAATATACACAACCTATTTAGTATTTATATTTATTTACTTACCCTTTTTAACGTTTTGGTGTCCCTAGGTAAGTACTTGTTGTTTGTACAACTTTAGTTTAATCTGGTGCAATGCTTAATTCGAAATAGCTAGAATTTTGGTAATGATTCTTAGAACATTTGCGACTATCTCATTTATAGTTTTACTAGAAAAATAATACGAGTTAATTACTTAAATGGTCACTCAACTATCTCAAATTATTTCCTAAAGTCACTTTTCTTTCGTTTGTAACAACAAAGTCACTGAACTATGCCTATTGCACTTAGAAGGTCACTCAAATAGACATTCCAAATTTTGGATTGCCAAGTACCTATTTTACCCTCTAAATTATAAATATTTATCTTCTTTTATTTTTTTTAAAACTTTTTAATATTATGATTTTTCCTTTTTAATTTATATTATGGACTTACCTATAGAATAAATAAATATTATTTATAAATTAAAAAAAGTAAAAAGTATTTAAGAATTTATAATGCCGGTATAACTAAATAATGAGCATAGTAAAAAAAATTAATTAGAATAATTTTTTCGGAATAATAATTTTAGTTTTAACAACA